GGGGTCTTGTGACCCTCATGCCTCAGCCTCCAAAAGTGCTGGGATTACAGTCATGCATCACTGCACTCAGAAAAATGAAAATGCCTAGCGCTTCTTTTACTCAATGCCATGCTCTTGCGGGGCATGATGGTGCATGCCTGTAATCCCAACACTTGGGAGGCTGTGGCAGGAGGATCGTTGCAAGTTCGAGACCAGCCTGGGCCACAAAGTGCGCTCAAGGTCAGCCTGAACTCCATAGCAAGACACTGTATCAAAAAGGCAAAAAAGAAAAAATTTATTTAAGAAAGTCATGTTCTTGCTGGCATGCCCAATCTTTTGGCTTGCCCAGGTAAACCGAGTAAAGAGGAATTACTCTGGGCCATATATAAAGTACACAGCACAGTTACTATATAAAAATTATACATATATATCCACAACATTATAAAAAAGGAGAGCAGCCAGGCATGGTGGCACATGCCTATAATCCCAGCACTCAGAAGGCTGAGGCAGGAGGACTGCTTTGAGTTCAAGGCCAGCCTAAATTGTATACTAAAACCCTGTCTCAAAGAGACAAAAAAAAAAAGGGGGGGGCAAATGGCCTGCAGGCCACTGGTTGAGTATACAACAATAGTATATACAGTAGTATATACATATACAATGATAGATACAATGATAGTATACAATGTTCTTCAAACTCATCCATGTGGTGGTATGCATCAGTACTTCACTCCTTTTTATTGGCAAATAATATTCCCTAGTATGTATACACAATTTATTCATTCATCAGTTGATGGACATTTAGGCTGCTTCACTTTTTGCATGATACTATAAACATCTGTGTACAAGTTTTGGTGCAGGCATATGTTTCATTTAACCTAGCAATGGAAATGCTGGGTCATATGGTACCACTGTGTCTAACATTTTAAAGAACTACCTAACTTTTCCAATGTGACTGTACCAGTCCACATTTCCACTAGCAGCGTATGAGGGTTCCAAATGTACACACTGAGTCTTATAGAACAAGAACAATCTCCTTGTTTCTGTATTATTTGAATCTTCTTAAAAAAGATTCTTCACATATTACAGCTATATGTATCTACGTTCAGGCTTTTCAAAGAGGGGTTTTTAAAAATTCCAGTGACATAAAAAGGTCGCTCCTTGATAAAAGAACCTGTTACCTAGTCAAAGTGACCAGGTTAAAATTCCTTTCTAAGTTCCCAGCTTGACCTGTCATGCCTCTGCCTCCAGGCACTCTGTGCTCCTGCCAAACCAGACCACTTGGAAGCCTCCCGGTACTCCTTCTCCCTCCACCTCAGCCATGGCTCACATTCCCCGCCACGAGAAATCCAACCAGTTCTTCAAGGCCCAAGGCAAACACCCTTCCCTCCTCTGCTCTTCTCTCCAGGGTGCTTTCCCACAGCACGACTCATTCCCTCCCTGTGTGCTCCAGGAGCAACTGTGTATCTCTGATGTTACATGCCCCACCTGGTACACAACTACAACACACCACCCCTGTCTTGTAGGAGGATGTTGTTACCTAATATTCTCTTCACCTCACCCCATGTATACACAGTCCTATGACTAGTTACAAGCACTGAGTGCTTCTTTTAAAGTAACATCCATTTTAGCACCATTTACTACAACACGAAGTCATTACAAAAATTCTGCCCTCTGTAGAGACAAGGTAGATTTCTTTCCAACTTCAAACGTAATTCTTTAGTAAAGTCTTTAATAACACTACACCACTCCTTATTTAAATGAAACGCTTTCACTTTCATTACCTATTTAAAAACTGGTCAATAATTCCTGCACCTCCATCTAAAGTTTGTGATTAACACATATTACCAAGAACTTATGGCTCTAAAGTACAGAGACGAAAGAGCTCCACGAGGTCACAAAGTAACCACAAGAGTCACAATGTGATTACATTCAGTATTCTACCTAGCAGCTACTAACAAAACAGATCCGAATATCACTAACTTCAAAAGCATCTGATGGCACATGGCGTGTAGCAAATGATCAGAATATTTAAATTCATGAAGATGATTTAAATTGCTTTTTTGGGGGGTCGTTTTGAGACAGGGTCTCGGCTATGCAGTTCAGGCTGGCCTTGAGGTCACTTTGTAGCCCAGGCTGGTCTCAAACTCGCAATGATCCTCCTACCTCTGCCTCCCAAGTGCTGGGATTACGGGCGTACGCCACCACGCCTGGCTTTAAATTGGTTTTAATTGTGGCAATTTGTTCGTGCTTTTTTACAGAAAGTAAAGCTAATTCTTAATTGTACAGATAACATTAACAAATATTTTCAAACTGTGTATTTAAAGCTATAAAATAAGAACACACAACCAAAACTTCTGCTCTTAGTAAGGACTCTGACTAGAACCTATCCTCAAAAGTCATTTTTTCCGTCTTTCTTTCCAGAGACCTGATAGACTAAACATTATAGCTGCCCCTATTTTCTACTCTCAACTTGCATTTAAGATAACGCTTTTGTTTCATTTACGGCTCACATGTTGCTGACACAGCTGCCCCTTCTTTGTAATAAACACAGGGCTTCTATATTTAAAAATACAGTGAAACTTTGTTATAACATCCCCTCCCCGTCTCTGGCCAATTTCTCTCTTCCAAGCTCCACCTCCACTAATCATTAGTCTTTTTGGAAAGTCAATTCCTTCTTTAAAGGCATCTCATCACAGTGGTATTTTTCTGCTATGTAGTTCACTGTGGCTGCTTTACAGGGGTGGGAGGGCGAGTGTCAAGCGGGCCGGCCGGACGCACGCAGCCACTGGGGTGATCCAGAGGTAGAGCAGGCCGGAAGGACGGTGCGACCCGAGGGGTACTCCAGAGGGGGTCTCGCACGCGCCCCATGGTCCGATCTCTGCAAGGGCCACGGGACGCCCCGGGAGGGCACCCCCGCCCCGCACCTCCCGGGGAGTCAGAGCGGCGGCCCAGCTGGGTGTGGGCCTTCGAGGCGGACGGGGAGGGGATCAGCCGGGCCGGAGTTAATCATCACCCCCGAGCCTCTGGAAAACTACGCGCGGGGCAGGCGGGGCGGGGAGCAGCCGGGAGAAAGTGAAACCCCCGCCCGCACTGCCGGGCGCTCCGAGCTCCCACGGCTGCGGCCCCGCCGAAGGCGCCACCAAAATCCACACCAAACCAGTTTTTCACAAACTCAGTCTTCCAGGGTTGCAGAGAAGTTAGCCAAAGCCACTGAAAATTAAGTAACTCGGCTGCCCAAGTGCAGTTTTAAAAACAGAAGGCCATTCCCATACCGGGAGTCGAACCCGGGCCGCCTGGGTGAAAACCAGGAATCCTAACCGCTAGACCATATGGGAAGCGTTGTGG